TGGTCTAAAGCCATCTCCTGTTTCTAGGAAACTGTGACACATTCCAGCTCCTCCTGTCACACTGCCCAATTCTCATTATAGCTTAAAGATGGTAAACAATCCCATTTGCGACGGGCATGTAACTATGGACAAGACTTTAAAAATGTACACAGTACAAGACTGATATATATTATTTATACCTCTACTGCACACAAAGGAAACAAACCAGATTAACCATTATATGCTTTTATGGAGAACCCTTGCCCTCCATTTGAGAGGAGTATGATGCTGTGTGCCATGGTATCCCACTGCAGGAGGCTGTGTGCTGTCCTGTGTTTGACAGCCTCTGGGAAGGGGGCAAAACTACTGAGCACAGTGTCACACACCGAGCCGCGCTTTGACAGCCTCTAGAAAGGGGGCAAAACCACTGAGCACAGTGTCACACACCGAGCCGCGCTTTGACAGCCTCTAGAAAGGGGGCAAAACCACTGAGCACAGTGCTTTGCAGGAGGTCGCACCTGGCCAAGCTTGTATGGCGGATGGAGACATGAAGAGCCTAAGCCAACCACAGCCCTTTTAATCCATAACAATTCATACCACAACAAATGGCATAGTATATAAATTGCAAATAAAAACAGAAAGAATTCTCTAGATTCCTTGAAACTTTTAATATTATACACTGTAAAAGGTGAAATCCACAAATTCCTTGCAATGTTGTGTTGAGAAACATTCTTAAACTGCAGGATTATTTCAATCACGCAGTTTTGTACAATGTTTTGTACTCATCCTTGCTTGTAAATGAATCGTTTATGGATGTTGCAGTTATGGCAAAGCATAATTGTATCTGTTCAAGATGTTTTTTGATTATTCCACAATGTTCCTTCTGCCCAGTTCAATCTTTATTGGAATAAGTCGCAGGCACCAAAATCTGAAAGGGTGTATATTTCAAAAAAATTTATAAATAAATAAACAATGAGATACACTGTTTGGTTGTAGAGCACCAGACATTACCTTAACTAGCTGAATTATGCAGTTCCGTCACCCCCAATATCAAACTCTCCCCTATGCCCTTGACTATACCGAAAGAAAAGTAAATGCCACTGACTTATGCCCTTGTTCTTCCAAGCTTAATTCTATTAAGAAACGGTGCATGTCACTAACACAGCACTGCTGTGTAACCATAGTACTCTGTAACAAGCCACATGTGTGCAAGCTTGTCTGCAGCTGGAGTTCAAAGCGGCTCTGTGAGTCTCAGTAAATGAGAGCGGGGCTCCCGATCCCCAGTGAAGCTCAGAGGGCGCTACCCTGTGTAATTAGGCAACAGCTGTCCAGAGACCCGCAGGGCAGCACTTCTGGGAAGCGCCCCTGTCAGACATGTCTGGGGGGGTGATACTGTGGCTGTATTTTCTAGAAGAAACGGCATGATCCTTGTTAACTCCTGCGTTTTCTAGAAGAACCAGCACGATTCTTGTCAACTCCTGCATTTTCTAGAAGAAACTGCATGATCCTTGTCAACTACTGCGTTTTCTAGAATAACCAGCACGATTGTTGTAAAATTCTGCATTTTCTAGAAGAAAAGGCATGATCCTTGTCAACTCATTCATTTATTTTTTATACAACTTTAAAATGTTAAACAGTTAGCACCATTTCCAAGGGAGCTGTGTTCCGTTGTTTTTAAATGTGCCGCATACAGAACTGCGCTTGCATGTGCATATTTTGCTGGGGAGTGCCGATGCTGATTTTTAATTTAATTATGCTTTCTGGAAGGGGGAGGAATCCTGGGAGACAGACACACAGCCCGCCTGAGTCCTGTCCTCTGCAGCTGCTACAAAACACAAGGAACTATGGAGGGGCTTCAGAAAATGCCGGAGGCAAAGAGGCTGGCAGACAGCATGTTACATAGGCTTTTTATGGCTAAAACACAGACTAATTTACATGGCATCCTGCCACCCACAAGGATTTTTTTTTTTATACAGTCTACCTTTGAGTGCACAGCTTTGGGGATATTTGACAGGGGAACACTATTAAATAAAAGAAACATCAGTCTCGCAGGCTGCTGAGTAATGCCTGCCTGGCATTCATACAACTGAAAGCGTTCTTAGACACTTTCTTTGAAGCCGGCAGCAAACCAGCCAGTACGCAACTGAAATGCTTTTAAAACTTTCAAGTCCATATCTATTACAAACAACTTGACAAAAAGAACCTCCTTCCAGATAAACATATTTTACATTTGTCCCGCTTGTTGTAAAGACAATTCAGGCACCAACTCCCCTCCAGCGATGGCTGTTTTGCACACGATTAACTCATAAGACCAAGATAACAGAATTATAACTGGACAAAGCATATTACATCCTGGGATTTGGGCCATTGTGAGATATTTCTATGAAATCTGATTAAGACCCCGATCATCCAAAGCAGTTAAACTATGACTGTCTGGACAACACTAAATATTAATTATCAAAGTACACATATTTAAAACACAGTGGATTGGGCAGGGAACAAAAACCACTTTACCGCTCACTAAAAACAGATGTAATGCTTTCTGTATGTATGCCAGTACTTCAACCGCATGCAAAGGAAAGCTTGCTCCAATTTCTTTAAATCCTGGAGGGGCATCCAACCATGCATAAAATTTATTTCGAAGAGCACTGGGAACAACCAGGGTTAAAACATAACCTATGATAACCCTACAATTTAAACAACCCTACTATGAGGTTATTCTGGTCAGGGCTGTGGAGGTGGGGGGNGGGGGGGGGGGGGGGGGGGGGGGGTACTGGGGCCTATTGGACACAGAACAGAGCACAAGGTAGGGGGTACATCCTAGACAGTAAGTCAGTCCATCAGTGGATACATGCAAATACTGTGGATACTGTGGACACCAATCAACCTACCTGCGTGTCTCTTTGGACCCAAGTAACAGGGGGAAGAACATCAAAACTCTACAAATAAAGCACTGATTCAGACTCTCGGGACGCTCAGTAGCCAGGCGCATTGTCAGCACGTTGCTATTTTAAGGAAGCGCAATGTCATGCTTTTGACCAACAAAAACCACATCTAAAGTCAGTGTTGCATTGTTGAATGGTATTTAAGCGCCGTGTTTTACAAACGTGCGGGTGCACGATGCTAGTTATTAACACAGATACGCACTCAAAGTGCACTAATGGTATTTTATTTCATTTATATACGTTATATTATAGAGTACATCTGGTCCTTTCACATAATCACATTGTTCAATAAAACACCAAAAGAAACACAATATATATTAAGTAAAAAAAACAACCATATCATTAAAAAGTTCATTATAAGAATTAACCACGTACTGTAACTGAAAGGACATCTGGATAGCCGAAAATGCGTTTCAAGTATTTAGATAACGAATATAAAATTAAAAGACCCAAAATTAAAATAAAACATTCAAGCATAATTAAGGCCGCTGCTTTCGTTCAGCAGCAAGCTTCCATTTTCCCCGTCTTTTGCCGTCGTTATACCACTTCCAGCACTGCGCAGATGATCTGGTGATGACAGAAAATGAGGACACACTGACTGCTACTTCGTCCCACGCCTGCTTCACACTGAAAGGCTTAGGTGGAACAGTGCTGCTTGCATATTTTCACTTAGCGCATGAGCACATCCGTTTTCTCACATGAAAAGAAATCTGGCTTGCCAGGCAAATGCGCCATGGTAATAGTAATCCGCAGTAGATCATGCGCCGCTGCCTTTTAAAAGTGAGGTGATACACCATTCCGATTGGTTTATTACTTAATCCCAAAACACGTCTTTGAATAAGGGAGTTAGGACAACCCTTTTCCACCCTGTGCTGGCGCAAACACTGTTTTTTTAGCACCGTCAAAACAACAAAATGGATTTGGACACGCCCATGACTGTTAGTTCCGCTTTGTGCTTTGCATTAAATCGTCAAAATCGAGCCTTCACAGACTCTGTGCACCGAGCCACAGCCTCTTGTCAATGCTTAACCTTCAATTGCTAAAATAAAGAATTTGTTGGAACAACAACAACGTATTTCCTGGATGGCCCGTAGTCCCCTTCCACAACATAATCACAACTCGGCCCACGCCCACCAACCTCTCTCCAGTCCCCCCTACACCAGGTTTCAGCAATATCTAATTTTTCATATCACACTCTCCATACATTATACCACAGTACACTGTATTTTTAAAGTATTTTCAAAATCTGCGCTATTCCAGTATTTTTTTAAATCTTATTGGGGGCCAAATGTCATATTTCAGTATACCGAAAATATTACTATAATACCGCTCATGCCTAGCCTATACATTCTCCCCACCTCTTATTATTAAAAGCCCAATTATATGTGTAAGATTTATTGACCTGTGGCACAGGATGTAAGTTTGGGAAGTTTGAGGAGGAGGATCCATGGAAGAGCTTCAGATTATCTGTATTTACAAGATCAAGTATCCTCAGCAAGTGCCTTTCCCGTGTTTTGCTGCTACCTAGCGCTACTGCTTCAATTTTGGGGGGATATGTCTCAAAATGAAATAAGCTATGGATCTCATCCATTTCATGCGTTTTGTGAAGTGGTATTAAGATCCAAGACAATCAAATACTTTTTGAGTTATGTTCACAAGGTCAAAAGTCGAGAGGTCACCTTTTCCTTTCCAATTTTCATGCAATAGGTCTCAAAATTTGAACAGTTCCAGATCGTCACCCAAAAAGATCCTTCAAATACTTTGAGTTATCACAATAACATGACCAAGTGTCAAAACTGCCCTTTAACTTGCAAACACTATGCGACGCTGATTCAGTTTTAAGGCTTTTGGTCTGAAAACTTGATCAGTTACAATTTGCCGCCCACACAATGTGTCTGCAAAGTTTGAAATAGATCCATCAAATAGTTTGAGTTATTGCACTACCAAGAAAATGCCTGTGGCAGTGGTGAACTATGCCCAAAACCATATGTATTCCCTGTCTGGGTAATACACTACTGACAAACAACCCTGCGTGACAGGGGTAGTAGTTTGCATGTGGAAAATCTGAAGACTTACCACCAGGTCGGTAAACGACATCGTCCTCTGTAATGAACGAGGTGATTTCGCCATTCTCGGTGCGCTCATAACGGGACTTCTTCTTGGGAGTCTTCTTCTTGTGTTTCTTGCTGGGCTCCTCCGTGATCACACTCGCATTCTCGTTGTCCTCATCCTCACTGTGGTCACTTTCAGCATAGTTCCTGGCTCCGCCTTCTAGAGTACAGCTGCGGCGAGGCCTTGAGCTCTCAGTGTCCCTTGTCCTCTCCCTCTTGTCCCTGTCTCTGTCCCTCTCCTTGTCCTTCTCTTTGTCAGCAGTCATGATTTGCCACGTGCCTTCCTCTGTCCTCTCACGGCTGGGCCTCCGTGAAAGGTAGACTGTGAGCCTGGGCTTCAGTCTTCTGAATTTAACACTCAGATCCAGGAAGAATTTGGCCACTCCAAGAACCCCAGCGTTTCACAAGAGCTACAGGTAAAATGGGGGGAGGGGAACAAAAAAAAGAAATGTAACCATCTGTCAATGAAATCAAAAATACAGTCACAAAACACTGTATAGTGAACACGTCAATCAAAAACCCAAAAAGAGAAATCAACACACGACTGTTTTTACGCAATATGATCTAATAGACAGCATGTCAGTGCAGTGCTGAGATATAGACTTGAGGGCCACTTTTTGTGACTGACAAACCATTGATTCTCAAAACCAATGCAAACATTATCAGAAGAAGCAGACTGAAAACAGATGTACTGGTCCACTCCTTGTCGGCACATATCTTTGTAATGTGGCATTTGCCTCACTTGGACAGAAGCATCTGCTAAATAACATAAATGTGAATGGATGGGAGAGAGTACACATGCACTGATATGAAGAAGTTAAAACAATAAAGAGGTAACAGATTTACTAAAGCCACCCTCAAAGCCTGAGGCCAATGTTCTTCATTTCCAGTGCAGATATTAACTGACAGCACAGCTGCTTTTCTTGAGATGCATTCCTTAGACAGCACCATTAAGTTACTTGAGTAGTTGCAATTGCATATATGCACAATGGTCCATAGGAGCCTTTCTTCTGATCTAATCCCTTAAGCAGTGGAATCTGATGAGCCTTGAATAAGACATGCACAATAAAACTTAGCATTAACTGTAAATGTTTTGACTGCTGCTGCACAAATGTCATTTCGCAGAGTTTAAAATGGACCGGTACCTGAAGTCATACAGTGGTGTTCTGAAATTAGTTGAAACTCACAATGACACCCATCATTTACAAAGGAGACTAGCAGGCTTGCTTAAAAATAAATATATCCTAGGGTTACAAGCACTAAAAACTTCAGGGTTTAGTAAACAGCAGTCAAATCCACCAGTTAACATACCAGAAATTAAGAGAGAAAGGTGTGCTGGAGACGGGTAAATACAGAAAGCTCCCCAGCTCCCCAGGAGATCCAACATAACATACCATCTATCAACACATTGTGCAATAATGAGCACAAAAGCAAAGCAGCAGGATTTCAGTTACTATACACAATCTATTTCTTCTTTAGATCTTCAGACAATAAATCACAAACTAAACATTCACAAGCCAATAATGCCTCAAGAAAATGAGAAAAAAAAAAGACTATGGAAAATCTGGAGGCAATAAAATACATCTCCACTTTTTTGGAGATCTTCAAACTAAATATGATTGGCAAAGATTAGCTTTTCTAAGATCTGACTAGCCAATTATGAATTGTATGCTCAAATTAGTCTTGAGGAAAAACCAGGTTAACTTTGAAAGCAAAGCACTGCAGCATACAACCAAACAGAATAAAATGACTAGACTACTACATCTGTACCAACCACACACATTTTGCCGTCTAACGGAACCATTTAACAAAAAACTAATGCTCAAGGTGCACTGACAAATAATAAATATAGACATAACACAAGAGTGAATGAAGCACCACCAATGCCACACCAAGAACCCCATTCACAATCACACAAATTCTACCTTCAAAAGCAGCTTGCATGTTTTCAGTCTACACGTCTGTCAAACAATACTAAAGATTAATATTACAAAATTATTAATATTACTAAATAATACTAAAAACCAAATAATTTCAGTAGAAGCCTAGAGTCTTTCCCATGACGGACAAGGCCCCGGACATCACACATACTGGATGACATACCAATCTATCAAATGGCAGGCACATACAAAGGGCAATTTAGAGACAACAGTCGGCTGAATCTGTATGCCCATAGAAGAACACTGCGGTATCTACAAAACAAAACATAGGAAGTGCACGCAGATTCCACACGCAGTGCCAGAGCAGAAATGAATGCCCAGGAGTCCTGGAGGTGTGATGTACTGAGGCTTGTTCAATAATAATAGTTTGACACCCCCCACCCCGCCCAAAATAAATAAATAAATAAATAAAGCAGCCTTAGTGACTAGCAACCACACAAAGGAGTCAGAAAGGCAGACAGCTCTTTGCAGCATCTGAAGTCGATGAAAGAAAAACAAGATCCAAAACAGAACTGACAAGAATTAAAGGCAGAAGTGTTTTTTTTTTCCTTCAAGATTTCAGAGTGCTTTTTTGCAAGAGTAAATGTGGTACATTCAACACATTTATTAATTTGTCAGTCATTTTAGTCCAAGGAGGAATCAAAAGCGGGTCTTAAATCAAATTAAAACATTCTATTTTAGATCAAAATACTTGTAGAGAAATAAGTAGACCAAGACTTTGAAGATTATTTTGATTAAATGAAGATTGAGCAGTGGAAAAAGGGTGCTTCAGATTAATCATTGTATCGTTCATCAATTGTTACATGAAAAGTGGTGAAAATTACCCATGTGACGCATACTTCAAATCATTTAAAGTTACGATTTCCATTTTGTCACACAATTATTATATGTAAAATGGCAGTCACTTTGAGTCACTTGTTAATTACTTTTTGAAATCAGAAAAATACATTTTACTAAATTCAAGATGGCACCAATGTGTCGGCAGTTTGGTAATATCTGGAACTCCACAACTGGAACAGAGGCAAAGAGCATTTTAACACAAAAGCCCCATGCTATATATATTTTTAATCAGATATTACTGATTAGATACCTTGTGAAATAATGCAAGTCAAATGGAGCAGTTTTGTTTGCAGAGATGTCCCTATTCATTGGCCCATCAGTTCTTGAATGCCAGAACGCTTAAATCCATTTGGTTTACAGTGCATGTTTGTGGTTTGCTTAAACAAGCTTTTGGCCAGAGTTTTCATTCCATGTCTGTCTCAAAACATAGAAAGCTTCTTTGCAACACAATATCATTCACAAAACTGTTACTTTAGAGCTAAGGGAGACACAGAGGGCTTCACAACAATTATTCATAACAGGTCTGTGATATGTTAGCTGTGATAAGAAGCCAAAAGTTTGTTGTAGGAGTTTTTTTTTTTTCTTTCTTTCTTTAAATCGGGAATGCTTAGACAACTTAAAAGGCAAAATATTTATTTTCTCAAATTGCTGCAAAACAAATTTTGTTACCTAAAAGATGAAATTAATAAGAATTAACCACCAAGTAAATACTGTCATCATAAGGATAATTCATAATTTCATTTTGATTTTGTGACGCTAATATTTTGGATGTCTGACTAGCATATTCGTTAACCAATACAGGAAGCAAAATTATTTTAAAGCACTCTGCAGCAACATATTTCCAGTTTTGATTAAACTATTTATGCTCGATTTTCCAATGATTCTGAGTTACGGAAAACCTCCAGACAATCTTACAATCATTAGTTAGGCAGACATGCGCACACAGTAATTAAGGACTAATCGTACTACCCCTAATAACCTTGGGCTTTCTATTAATCCCATTACTTTACAGGGTAAAAATAGCAGCGCCATTTCTCACCTCCAGTACGTTTAAACCTCCACCACCCATATCCAATTATTTAATATTTATCCTCAGGGAACAGAGAATCTGATATGCAATTCAAAATCTGTTTTCCTTTTATACATTTTCTCCTAAAAAATGCTGAAAATACCACAAAAAAACAATTCCAGGTGGTGGTGAATTTTGCTCCTGTTTTTTGGGACTGTATTGCGATCTTGGTTGGATAATTATTGTTTTTAAATAGGATCCGATCCTCACCTCATACTCAGATATAACAGGATCAATTTTGGGACAAAGCACCTGCTGTGGACAGTGAAAACAAACCCAGGAACCACTAACCAAGAGCAGCCAGAGCATGCTGAAGAAAAATGAGTTTTAATCTGTCTGCTTGAACAAACAAATGTGAAAACACTTCAATAGTTTATCTTCATAACAGTTTTAACATTTTATCAGCTGTGTTTTAGGTAAAAGCTTCCCTATCAATCACACCATTTTACATATAAAATATGCAAACACACTGGGTTTATATACGTATGCACAAAAACACACCAACTTAAAATTTTAAGGAACATACTAAGCCAGTTCATCCAGCCGCGAGAGATTTTAAACTGTGCCAACTATGACCAAATTACAAACACCTAAGCAGTCAAATTCTTAAATTAAAATGTTTTACACACACATAAAAACAACAAAAGGGACAAGAAATTCAAAACACATGGGAATAATCCGCAGCCACCCAGATAGTGTGGGATTTAGTCCAGATCATTCCGTCTAACCATAAAAGCTAGTGGCAGCGCTTGACTTCATCAGTATCACCTTTAAAAGAAGCAGTGTTTCACCAGTCACTCCACTCAACAGCTTGCTGCGCCAGTAAAGGTTTCTGTACCGTAACCTTCTGCTCAGTTAATGAATTACCAATAAACAGTAAGGCAAGATCAAATTTTGTATAATTATCTGCTATTCATCAATGTGAAGCCACAAATTTTCAAATAATTGATCCACTCAGATTATATTTAACATTTTTAGAATCAAAACACCCTCTATTGCAAGTCAGCAAAGCTTAAATTAAATATTTCTTGGATGTCTGGCTTCTTTTATACCTAAATTTTTTTAATGACATATATGGCAGCAGGCGATAACTGCCCTGGTCTTAGCAGATCAACATCTAAGTTCCGCCAGACTTTTTAGTAATACAAGAATGGCACACAAAAATTAAGACAGTACTGGTTTAAAGTAATACCCAAAAAATGATTCACAGGTTTCCCGATTTTAAGTAATTAAGCATACACTGTTGAATATTCTGAAGCTTCTTTCATCTCATCTTCTATTTGAACTGCCAATTCTGCCTGTAGCACAATAATTAATATCATTTTATCTTACAAAACAAAAACATGAGGACTATACCAAGGGGCAGTTCTTTTATAACAGCAGGCAATGCCTTTATTTGTATGTTGTTCACTATAGTGCAATGGTGCCCAAGACGTTTGGCTGAAGCTGACACATAACTTGGAGATATGAGATAAGCATCTGAGCAAAGACGATATTCTGAGCAGCAGTGCTTTAGCAAAATTGTCACCTCCCAGTTACATTCACTATTACCAAGGAGATT